GACCAGTTGATCAAATCCATAATTCTCTTTTAGGCTTTAGAGAACAGACTGTGAGAGAGTGTTACAGGGAAAGTAATACACACGAGACAAGACAAGGACACAAGAGGCTAAGCAGGGAAGATAAGGGGAAGGAGGAGAGGAGAAAACTGCGACAGCCTTCGCCGAGAGCCAAACGAGTTCTAGTTTCCTCTAGAAAGTCTCATCTTTTCAAACTATTGTAATATCTTCCGCTTTGCCATTTGATAAACTCTGACCTCCTGTAGTGATGCTTCAATGGCATGATAATAAAAATTACAAAAATCTAGAGATGCACTACCAAAGTATAGTGCACACACCAACAGTTGTGATGTCGCATTGGGTCATACTGCCATTCTCACGGGGGACAACAAGCATCTCTGAAGCTTACTAAATAAACTCACCTGTGCAACTCCCTGTTGCACTGGGAAGAAAAATAAAGCCAAAATGGAAACAAATATATTTTTCCAACAACATAAAGATTGCGAGCTGCTCACTAAACACAATAAATCAACAAAAGTATTAAACTTGAAATTCAGGTGTTTCTTTTTTCAGTCCTGTTGCCACAGGTGCACAAAACAAAGCACCCTTTCATGCAATCCTTTGAAAACATTTGTGGGAGAATGGGCCATTCTTTCACTGAATTTGAATGTGTTACACTAACAGGATGCTAATGTTGCAACAAGTGATGTGATGTGATGTGATGCTATGAATGTGACTGATAATATTTCTTTCACCATCGGCTGTAAGGTGTATTATTACTAAGTGGAATCGTTCAGCAACCGCAGTAACTCAGCCACACAGAAAGGTAGACTGCACAGACTTACTGTACAGAGCAGGATAGCCGAGTGCTGAGGCACGTAGTGGGTAAAAGTCAGTGAGGCTCTGCTGACTCACTAACTGCAGAATTCCAAGCCTCCTCTGGCATTAACATCAGCACAAAAACTGTGCACTGTGATGGTTCATGGAATGATCAAGCAGCTCCTGTAGGTGTAAACTGTAGGTGACCCACTACTTTTGTCCATATGGTGTATCACAGCCCAGTGCACAAACTGACTGCACTTAATTACACAGCAATAGTGGACACCATTCCAGTAAGAACCTTGATATTGGTATGGTAGAAAGTAGGATAGCTGATGATATCATTAGGGAATATGAGTTCCTGGGTTGCACAACCGTAACAAGTTCTTTTAGTGTTTAAACCCACCTGTAGTTTCAGAGGGAGTCTATTTATTTACTGGATGGTCTATCTTCCTTGTATGTCACCAGTTTTCTGGCAAAGTTACAGGCGAAGTTAAAGTCAAATGCACCAAAAATAACTGTTTATTTTCCTTATATTACAAACATGACACCAGGTACAGCACACAACAGTTCCTCTAAGGAAGTCACTATCTTTACCGTGAGTGCTGGTTACACGATCATCCTTTTCTTTATTGCTTATGCCATGTACCTGGCATAGGTGCATATTCTGACACAGTCTTAGGCAAAGCCGAATGAATATGCTGAGAATGAATCCGGTGTCTGTCTGCTGGAGTTCTAGTCTTTGTTCCCATCTGGAACCTGCCTTACTAACAGTCAGGGGACCAGCTGCATCTGTCAAAATGGAAGAACGAGCGGAGCAAAGTTAATACCCCTGTGAATTTAATGATTTGTTTTAAAGAGATTGAAGCATTTCAAACCATTGTCCCTGTGTGCCATCACAGAGCTTAATATTAAGTTGTGCTTGGCAGCACCCAGGGTGAATATAAAGAGTTGTCTGAATGGGAAACATGTGAATAAGAGGTTGTGGACTCAGTAAAACTACCTAAGGGGGGGAGAAAGAGAGAGAAAACCACCCTGACCTTGACAACAGACAAGTGAAATAGTACAGATGAAGGTGATGGAGTATCTGCCTGTAACTTTCTTTTCTCCCTCTTATAGAATTAACAAATGAGTTTGTGAGTAAACCTTGACCTCCTTAAAACAGAATACTATGTGGATTTTCATCTGAACATGCTCCTGCCTGTGAGAAAGCAGGAACCAACTCTCTGAATTCTCTTTAAAGGTCAACAAAGGGAAAATTCATTGCAGCGCTTTGCCTCAATTTATCGTGTTCAAGCACTTTGAAGGTATTGTTTTGGAGGAATGCCCAGACAAGAAACATTTCCTTAAGAGTGCGGTTTGATTTGGTAATAGAATTTTATGGCCATTTTACCTACTCTGCTGTACATCTCAACCACCTCTAGCATTTCACTGCAAGAAGAGCACATATGAGTAAATGCATTTCCATGCCAAGGTCATTCCATCTGTAATAACGTCAGCAGCAGGCTGGGAAAACAGGAACCTATGCTAAAGAGACTAGGATAATCAACACTCCCTACTTTCCTGTTGCTGATGAACTGCCAAAAGTCTTTTTTTTCTCCTCCAGCAGACGCACCAGTAATATATTATTGCATTTATTTGATATTTGTGAAACAAGTAAGATTTAGAAAATTATGTGGTCTAGACTTTAGATGAGTTCAGTTTATTTGCCTGCTTGATCTTACTTCCAGTCAGATCAATTAATGTGTACATTGAGTTCATCTCTACTCCTCAGACAGCTGTAATTGTTTGTAGAAAGATGTATTGTGAGAGTACAGCTATTTGGCAGCAGCATATTAACAGCAGATCCTTTAAGTCCTGAAAGTTTTAAGTTGGAGGCAGACCAGGACATGCATCAACACCAACTGTCTCCAGTCATGGTTTGTTCTTCATTAATAATTTTCTGTTTTATTTTCAAAATACTAATATTATTCAGAAGTGCCTTTGTATGTAATGCTTACTCCATTTGCTTGACTCTCAGGATGTACAGAACCAAGGACATTTCATACTGAATGTTCCTTACTAAGTGGTCCAGAGGCAAATACAGATTCCGTCTGTAGTTATAGGAATACCCCTGAAGTCTTCCTCTTTCTCTCTGAACATTTTGTCCACCCATACTGCAACATTGCAAAAGCTTTACCTTGATAATAACAAAAAATTCTGTCCAATATAGAAGGCACATCAATTTGTTGTAAGAAGCTATGCTTCCTTGCTTTTATGGCGTCTCAGTGCTGATGCTTAAGAGTATGGTGCTTAAAGTGGGCAAATAAATTCTTAAATTGCTGTAGTGACAAATTAACAGTGACAAAAAGTGAACTTCCATCCATCTGCATTTAGAAACAAAACTATTTGTGCATCAGTAAAAGTTCAGCGGAAACAAATAATAACTCCTGGCATACATAAAGCATGTGACCACTTGGATGAAATATCATATTTTCAACATGTATTTTACACCTATATCAGGTCGGGCTAGTAGTATTTTACACACATCATCTCATTGTGCCCTTGTTTGTTTGTTAAATTGAAACTTAACAGCCTCCAGCCTTTCATTTCTGCTGCATAAGAAAAAGGAAATGAAAACATGCTGATGTTTAGAAAATAACATTTGGCTTGTTCTCTAGTTGAGTGTATCTCGCTAACCCTTGCTGATTAGCATAATAATTATTTATTTATTTATTTATTTTATTGGGAACCTTGAAGGTTCTTATGTCCTCAGATTTCATGGTAATCCACGCAGGCAATTTCTCTCAAAACCTGGGTTGTCAAGGTCATGGTGGCATGTGAGGGTGAATTAAGGACTGACTAAAACTGTCAGATAGTCTAGCATACTAAGTGGATGATTCTCATTTGGAAGACAGAAGCCAACCTGAATCAATCAGGGCAAGAAAAAGTTGTATCCTCTAAAAGCTGAAGCAAGCTTTCTCTGATGTTGTTGTTGAAGTGGTTGCCTTATTTTGCTGGCAGAGCTAAACATTAAGCAATGAATGCACCATAGTGTAGATCATTTTAAAGTGTTAATAAAATGTATCTGTCAGTGCCTGATACCAGGAAAAGCAGCAATTTTCTATTGATTGATCACTCAAATTTAGCAGATTTTCTTTTTCAGAACCTTGAAACCGTTCACTGCTAAAGTAAATAGTAAGTATTAACAGGATGCAAAGGATGATTGATTCCCCAATGGCACATAAATGAAGACTTCATGATTTTTTTTAGATCCTGGATAACAAACCAGTGTAGTTTTAAAAATATGTAAATCTGACTTTTTTATTTCTCCTTTCAGACTCTTAAAGATCCCAACCTGTCAGCCAGGAAGGACTTCCAGAGAGAGGCCGAGCTGCTGACCAACCTGCAGCATGACCACATTGTTAAATTTTATGGCGTGTGCGTAGATGGAGACCCTCTCATTATGGTGTTCGAATACATGAAACATGGAGACCTCAACAAATTCCTCAGGTAAATTTTTTATTATTGAAAATTGAACATTTCTTGAAATTAGGAGGTTAACTTAACAATGCAGATATGTGCGAGTATGTTGGAACTACATCATTCACAATACGTACAGTAAATGAAAGGCTTCAGTAAGACTAAAAGCCTGAAATTCTTTTGTGAAATAGCTGCCACAAATATCCGGCTTGCTTCACAGCTTTGTGCGTTAGCAAACACGAGTGCTTTAGTGCTTTTGTTCCATAATGTCAGACTGTACCAAGGGAAGTGACCTCTGATAAGCTTCAACAAAAGTGACACGATGCCGGTACAGCAAGCTCTTTGGTAATGGGAAGCTTCACTGGAGTTGATGTCAGTGTGCAAAGAAGGAATCTGGGAAAGAAGTCTGCTATTTCAAGAGTGTACACAGCAGCACCAGTGTGTATGCACGTGCATGTGTGTGTGTGTGTGTGTGTGTGTGGTCGATCTTGTTTTTGAAATTTCAGCAATAGTTGAAAAGATGACATGTTACGATGGAGTGTGAGTGTGAATGTCTGTGTGCATTCAAGAGTGCGTGAAGACTTTCTGTTGGGAAATCATTCCTGAAATGAAAGGCAATGTCGCGAATGATGAAATTCTTTCATGCAAGGTGCAAGACGTAGCTGATTCTTGGTCTGTTGGTCCTGTTGGTCACATTTAAGAGATGAGATGTGCAGGGAATCAATAGGAGTGAATAGAAGATCTAACGTGCAGGTCCAAACTCAACCTTCAGATAAGCAGCAGGGCACCCTGCTCTTATTCACCTATTACTGTATGTCTGTGAAGTATAATAAGCAGCAGAAAGGCGAGAGAAAAAGTACTACTAATCCGCCAACAGCAGAGTGAAATTATAACAGACACACTAAAAACAAGAGGAAAATTGAGCTGCAATAAAATTCTGCCTTGGGGATGGAAAAACAGCCCGGGAGAGTGAGAGAGCGGTAGTCCTCCCTGCATGACACCTGGTCTGTAATCAAAGTGACGAGAAGGTGATGAGAACAGCAGGAAGTCTTCACAGGAAATGAGTTCTTCATCGTCACCCAGAAACCTGCAGTCAACCTGTTCTGGTAAATGTACAGTCCTGTGATGAAAATCCAGAGACTTGGTTAAAATTCCTGACAAGTTGGCCTACATGAAACTTTTGCCAAAGAAAAAAAACCTCGAAGCTCACAGCTTACGACCATAGAGTTAAGAACAACAGACACATAACAGTTTATCGCTGCCAGTAAAGCAGTGCTTGCAGAGTATAGTTCATTTGTTAATATTTCTAACAGTCTCGCTTTATTATGGTAATTATCCTCAATAGGTACAAAGAGGCACATATATTGCCAGGATAAGGGTTTATTAGAAGTATAAGGAGCTTTGGATTACTTCTTAAAGAGGCAGGCTCGTTCAACATGTAGAATGTTCTCTAAAGGGTCCTATAGCCAGTAATTAAAGTGTAGCTATGAAACTTACAGTAGGAGAGAAGAAATAACAGAGTTCACTTTCTAATAAATAATAAGTTGGTTTCATAAGACAAGGCTGGAGCCTCACTTGAGAATTAGACTGTTGTGCTTTAAACCTGCATTCTTTCAAATGGCCAGCAGGGGGTCTGGTTGTATACAAGTCTGTGAGAAAACAACCCCTCAGCTGCCTTAATCTATGCTCAGTAAACACCTTCCCGATGAGTTTTTGGTCTTAATTGCATCCTTCAAATTTGACTGGACGCAACATGATAATTCAAGTTTAACTGTAAAATAATACGACAGAGCTCAAGTCAACATTATCCAGAATCCACCAATATAAATACAAGTACATCAAATCATCATCCACTATTCTTTGTAATACAGAGCCCACGGCCCAGATGCCATGATCCTGGTAGATGGCCAGCCACTGCAGTCCAACGGAGAGCTGGGCCTTTCCCAGATGCTGCACATTGCCACCCAGATTGCCTCAGGCATGGTTTACCTGGCCTCCCAGCACTTTGTGCACAGAGATCTGGCTACCCGCAACTGCCTGGTGGGCAACGGCCTACTGGTGAAGATTGGAGACTTCGGCATGTCCAGGGACATCTACAGCAGTGACTACTACAGGGTAAGCTTCAGCCGGTATTGTTTGGTTCGCTTGTTATTTTTGATTAAAAGAAAGAGCTGTGTGCAAGCGTGAGAGAGGCCGAAACGATTTAAACTTTTTCCACACCTCAGACAATTCTGCCATATTCACTTGGTCTCTTTTCTATGTTGTCTTGTAATAAAGCCTTTGTAGCGCTTAGTAAGAAACATATTTCTAATGGGTGAAGGGTGTTACTCTGCTGCGTTATTTTATTTAATTTTTCTTGTCTGAGGAGAGTTATCAGCTCTCCCATCCATAATACAGCCCCAGGACTGCGCAGCCAGCTATACATGCAGGCAAGGATGGAGCTGTTTAGCAGCATGGTATGAGATGAGATGAGCCTGCTGAGCCTCTAGCCTAATGCTTAAAGGCTTGTTTATATAGCGTCCAATTCATGTCTTCTCTACTGTTTAACACGATTAGCGACGATGAATGCCAGGCGGCAACTACTTTGCTGAAGAATTTAGCATTTTTGCTGAACAAATATGTGGAGTGATGGCTGCTACAGATCTGGCTGCTTTAAAAAGCCTGGGCCTGTGAAATGACTTTAGGTGCGCCTGATTCTGTTTTCCCAGCGTGACAGCTGGGACAGTTCGGACATTGCTTGGGGCAACGCCAGCAGTTATGAAGTACTTGCCTGCTGGGTAAGCAGCTCTGCACGCATGAAATAATGTCTGAGGAAATTTGAGGGGAGATGCTTTTAGCAGTTGGTGCATGGGTCCATGTCCATTCACAATCTGTGTAACAGACATAAGAGTGATTAAGATTATTTGTTCTTCCTATGAAGTAATTATTGCCAGATTCTGTGTGTACTTTTCAATGTCTGGGCTCTCATTGGGCAAAAGGGTTTCATAAAGTTAAGCTGAGGAAAAGTGTTGAGAAGACCACTGTAAAATTTAAAACACAAACATATATGTTTTCATTTCAAGTGTGACTTCAAACTCAGTCATTTTAAGCATATTTGATTTTTTTTGTGCACATGAAGCTACTTAATCTTTAGAATATTAAAGACTTCTCTAATATTCAGTGATATAGTTTGATGACATGTTCATTTGTCAGCCACAGTTCTGAAATATATTATTCAATGCTATCAATGAGCTTACCATCAATAATTTATAACGTGGAAGAATGAAAATAGTAGTAGATTTAAAAAGGGATAGTGTTGTTACCTTTGTTATGAAAAAAAAATATTGTTAATCATTTTGACAATAGAGTTGAGATTACGAGATTAAAGTCCAAAATCTATTTTGAGAATCTATATCCTGCTACACCTTCTCTAAAATGCCTTGTTTGGATGAGTTAGTGAAATAAATTGATCAGCTGTCTTGTGAAACAACATCCATCCTCTTTATTGGACGAGGGTGTAACCATCGATAACCTTGCATCTGCCCATTACCAGCCATTTCATGTTCTATGAATCTACTCTTCCGAGTTTGTGTGTTTTTCCCTCTGACCAGATGCAGGTTTCTGCACCACCTTTTCAACATCCTTATACTGATAACTGCAGTGTGATTTAGGGTACTTCAGGGTACAGCAGCTGTGCCAGTTTGTCTTGAAACAACAAATGTAATCTCCACATTTTTAATTTTTTCAAAAAATCCTTCTCAAAATATATATATA